TGTACTTCATTTGAGTGTGAATAATAGTCTTTATAACTTTGAAGGCTTAAACACTCAATTCAATTTGTTAGTAAACAAGATGGACTTGTTTATTATAATCAAAACATTAAGGTCATGATCAACCATAGGTCAACACGAAGCTCCTTCATGTGAAAGCAGAGCCTCCTTGGGTCCGAGGCTCCTCCGCCCAAAGGCAGAAGCTCTTGAAGACCGAAGTACTGAAACTTAACACAGATGTTTTCTCATAGCGGATTCGAGATCTCTCAAAAATGATTGACGTGACATCTGCCATAGAGTGTCTGTAGCATTAATGTGTGTCAGTATAAGTCAGTCTACAAAGTAGAGCGGCGGATTTTCTGCAAAACAATAATTGTAAAGATCGGACATTGATGTTAGGCTTCAGGCTATGAGGTGTCGCCACATGAAGTTGATCTAACGGTCGTGACGTCAGTTAGGTTAGTATAAATAAACCTCTTATTGTATAGAGAAGGGGGAAGACGAGATTTGATGCACTTTGCTTGGCTTGATCTTGAATAATACAACCCGTATTAAATTCACAACACATTGCAAGATATTCTCTTTTAATCTATCCTTCCACATATTCCGTTACAAAACGGATATTCATTTTAGGAAAAATCGATCTAGCTCTTGTAGATAGCGCAAGAGCCGTTGAAATCAAATCGCCGGAGCTTGAACAGTCGTGTCCCTTGCTGGAAAGTACCTCCCGCGTTCCTTCCAACCATATTACCGCTCATGTTCCAGTAGAAACGCGCCGGATCATTGCTCGACGTGGTAAGGGTGGGTCCGATATCTGTTGAGCTCATTTTTTGGGGTCAACAGATTGGCACCGTCTGTGGGAATGTCTAACACTTAACCACGAAACACGCTTGGAAAAAGAAAAAAGATACGTTTTCGAGAGAGTTTCTCATCCTTGAAAAAGGAATATCCTTGCAAAAAGGAACCGAAAAAGAATTGGAAACCCCCTGAAGAAAGGAACCAAGTGGTATATCACGTGACCAAGAAATGAGTTCCACCGACGAAAATGCCCCTAGAAGGACGAGGGAACGCCCTGAAGAAGGAGAACCTTCACGAGCTGTTCCGATAGCCCAACCGAGACCTTCAATGAGCAGACGAGGAGATCCCAGGGGCGGAGGTGGAGTTGCAGCCAGATTAACTATAGAAATGGCAACAATGGCTGCCAACATAAGGAATATCAATCAGCAAAACCAAGTCATGCATGAAATGTCAATCAGCAAAACCAAGTCATGCATGAAATATCAATCAGCAAAACCAAGACAAGGACGAAATGGATTCGTCTCGGAAAGGCTGTAGGAAGAGAAACCCCAGAGGTCGAGAAGCGTCTTCGACAAGATAAGTCCAAGAATGCCTAGAAATAGGCGAGCCAATCCACCTCAGGCACCTAGCAATAGGTATGACGATGAGGTACCTCTTGTCCGTCCCCCTAGAAATAGGCGCGTAAGGCGGGAACAAGCTAGCAGCGAAGTAGGGACTTCCCAACCACCTCATCTGATCACTCTAAGGGAAGAAGAGAACCCTGATGAGCCTCAGAGGTCTTGCGACCTCGATGATGATAATGAGCACTCTCCTTTCTAAGAGGCCATAAGGAGTGCACCCATACTGAGCCACTTTGTACTCCCAAAAATCTAAAAATACGATGGGAGAGGTGACCCCACCAACATATGGACAATTACAAGACACATATGAATTTGAAGGGGGCTACTCCGGCGATGAAATGTAGGGCCTTCCACTTAACTTTAAGTGGAGGGGCAGAAATCTGGCATGCCAGGCTACCAGAGGGGAGCATCCGGAGCTGGCCAGAGTTCAAGAAAACTTTCTTGAAGCGCTTCGCAACCAGTAAAGAGGGGGAAAGACCCATCTAAAGGTTGCAAGATATGAGGCAACAACAAGGTGAGTCGCTGAAAAGTTTTACTTCGCGATTTACAGATGAAATGATATATTGTGTGAAAGTCACGGATAAGGAAGCCTTGACTGGCCTGAGAGGAGGCCTAGCTATGAACTCCCTTTTCTGGAGAGATGTGCAAAATAAAGGATTGTACTGTTACAAAGCCATGCCCTTCGGCCTGAAGAATGCTGGGGCCACATATCAAAGGCTGGTTAACAAAATATTCGCCGACCTCATTGGCAAAACCATGGATGTGTATGTAGACGACATGCTGGTAAAAAGTCGGAGATCAACGGACCACATCGCCCACATAGATGAGACATTCCAGATCCTGTAAAAGTATCGAATGAAGCTCAACCCCATGAAATGCGCTTTCGGAGCGTCGTCAGGCAGGTTCCTTAGTTATATAGTTAATCAGAGGGGCATCGAAGCAAACCCTGAAAATGTTAAAGCTTTGATTGAAATAAGGTCACCCCAGAAGCCAAGGGAAGTTCAAAGCCTCACTGAGAGAGGGGCGGCTCTCAACCGCTTCATCTCCAAAGCAACAGATAAATGCCTCCCCTTCTTTAAAGTTCTTAAAGGGGGAAATAAGTTCCAATGGACGGAAGAATGCAAGGTGGCCTTCTAAGAACTGAAAAAACATCTGGGGCAGGCACCTCTCATTTCCAAACCAAAGAACCATGAGGTATTGCATCTGTACATGGCAGTAACCCCTGAGGCTGTAAGTTCAATGTTGATCAGGGAAGAAGACAACC